CCCTCTCTCCACAGCGGCTTCGTGAGTGGTACTCTCGGCGCTGTCGGGTTGCTGCTGGAGGTGCTGCTGGTGCAGGAGCTGCTGGAGGTGCTGGCGCTGCTGGAGGTGGTGCTGGTGCTGGAGCTGCTGGAGGTGCTGCTGGTGCTGGAGCTGCTGGAGGTGCTGCTGGTGCTGGAGGTGCTACTGGAGCTACTGGAGGTGCTGGTGCTGCTGGAGGTGGTGCTGGTGCTGGAGCTGCTGGAGGTGCTGCTGGTGCTGGAGGTACTACTGGAGATACTGGAGGTGCTGGCGCTGCTGGAGGTGGTGCTGGTGCTGGAGCTGCTGGAGGTGCTGCTGGTGCTGGAGCTGCTGGTGGTGCTGCTGGGACTGGAGACCCTGAGGCTGAGGGTACCGGTTCTGTCTCTGCTGTTTCTAGAGGCGCTGTGCGGCCGCGGCCGTACTACGTTCCGCTTCTTCAGCAGGTTCTTGGCTCCCCGCCTTCTCCTGGTCCTCCTCCTCCTTCCCTGAGTCCACCGCCTGTCCCGTCTCAGTCGCAGTTACAGCCGGCCTCTCCGCTGCCTGGTCCTTCTCCTTACTCTTGTCCGACTAGAGGTCTTACGGAGCATCGTGAGCCTGAGTTGCGTCCTGTGTCGCCTGCGTCTCGTTCTACGTCGCTTGTCCGTTCTGTTCGCGCTGGTCGTGTTTCGCGTCCGCGTCTTCCTCCTGTCCCTGGCACTCACTCTATGACCCTGCGTCCTTCCACTGCTCCACAGCGTGTCCCTCTGCCCTCTCCTCCTGCGTCCTCTCTTCATGACGGTCCGGACCCGGAGTCTGACTCCCTTCGTGCTGCTCGTCCTACTGTCACGCGCTTTCTGGCCACTGCTGTCACTGACCCTCTGTTTGAGTCCTTTGCTGCGTCTGCTCTTGTTGCTGAGCTTGTGGACTTTGCTGCAGCCTGTCGCCTAGACTACGCCGCTAGTCTTGTTGCTGAGTCTGCGTCTGCGTCTGTCTGTCCTCCGTCCGTCGGGGGTGAGTGCGCTCTTGGCACGGACGTCCTTGAGGACAGGCAGGAGGACCTTGAGTGTTTTGCTGCTGCTTCACCTCATCTCGTGTCCATGCTGCTTGCCCCTGAGGAAGACCCGGATGCACTAGACATCCCGACCCCGCGCTCTTACGCATGGGCGATAGAGGGTCCCTACTCCTCTCAGTGGCAGGCAGCCATGGACGCAGAGATGGCTTCCTGGAAGTCCACAGGCACCTACGTAGACGAGGTTCCCCCACCTGGGGCGAACATCGTCAGTGGCATGTGGATCTTCAGGGTGAAGCGGCCGCCGGGTTCTCCGCCTGCCTTCAAGGCGCGTTACGTTGCACGTGGCTTCAGTCAGCGACAGGGAGTTGACTTCTTTCAGACCTTCTCCCCTACCCCGAAGATGACCACTCTTCGGGTACTGCTGCACGTTGCTGCTCAGCGTGACTACGAGCTCCACTCGCTTGACTTCAGCACAGCCTTCCTACAGGGCAGCCTGCACGAGGAGATCTGGCTGCGCCGCCCACCTGGCTTCACTGGGTCGTTTCCTCCTGGTACCCAGTGGAGCCTCCGGCGGCCAGTCTACGGTCTCCGCCAGGCGCCCCGTGAGTGGCACGACACGCTCAGGACGACTCTTGCTGCTCTTGGTTTTGCTCCTTCCACTGCTGACCCTTCTCTGTTTCTACGCACTGACGCTACTCTGCCGCCGTTCTACGTTCTTGTGTACGTAGACGACCTTGTCTTTGCTACTGCTGACACGGAGGCACTCGCCCACATGAAGTCCGAGCTGCAGAAGAGACACACGTGCACAGACTTGGGTGAGCTGACAAGCTATCTTGGCTTGCGGATCACCCGGGACAGAGCACAGCGCACCATTACCTTGACTCAGTCACACATGGTGCAGCAGGTCCTTCAGCGCTTCGGCTTCACCTACTCCTCGCCACAGTCCACTCCTCTGCCTACCGGTCACTCGCTCTCAGCTCCACCTTCGGACGAGTCCGTAGAGCCGAGTGGCCCGTATCCAGAGCTTGTGGGCTGCCTCATGTACCTGATGACTTGCACACGACCTGACCTCGCATACCCTCTCAGCCTTCTGGCTCGCTACGTGGCTCCCGGCAGGCACCGAAAGGTGCACTGGGATGCTGCGAAGAGGGTGTTGCGATACTTGTGCAGTACATCGGGCATGGGGCTCGTGCTTGGAGGACGGGCTCGAGTTGTCCTCACTGGTCACGCTGACGCCTCATGGGTTGACGACTTGGCTACGCAGCGGTCGTCACAGGGTTACACCTTCAGTCTTGGCTCCGGCTCTGTCTCCTGGCGGTCTACCCGCTCTTCTTCTGTTCTCAGCTCCAGTTGTGAGGCTGAGATCTACGCTGGGGCCATGGCTGCACAGGAGCTTCGCTGGCTCACCTACCTGCTGACCGACTTGGGAGAGGCGCCTCGTTCTCCTCCAGTTTTGTACGTCGACAACAAGGCCATGCTGGCCTTGTGTCAGGAGCACAGACTGGAGCACAGAACGAAGCACATTGCTCTGCGCTACTTCCTTGCTCGAGAGTTGCAGCAGCGTGGCCAGCTTCGTCTTGCTTACGTGGCCTCTCAGGCCAACACTGCTGATGTTTTCACCAAGGCACTTCAGCCTTGTGATCATCAGCGTTTCTGTACTGTGTTAGGCCTTGTACCTACTGTTGAGTGATGCTACCATTCGCATTCACGTCTGTCTGCCTCCCATCATATGTTCGTGCGTTGCATGCGTATTGTGAGTGTGTGCAAGAATTTGTATTTTGTGCGGTTTGGTTTTTCTGAGTGTGTGTGTGAATGTTATTTGGCTTGAGAAGATATCTGAAGTGACTCCTCTGCTCAAGAGCTTTCCGAGGAACCAAGTATCGCTTCAATCGGAGCACGAACAAGAAAGTTACGAACGTTGGAGTTCGTATGCTTTTGATATCTGGTTGTGGTGACTATGGGAAGTTGTGGGGTTGACTCAATATGGGGTACAGACTTTTGGGGGTTGGGAAATTCGTCTTTTCTACTGTAGTTGCTGCCAAATGGTTGGGAGAAACCAAACCAGGTTGGCAAGTGTGGCCAAGTTGGGTTGAGGTGGATTGTGGAGGTTGGGATAGTGACAAAGGTCAAAGTTGGGTTGCCTATGGGGAAGGAAATTGTATGGCATGGGGTTTTCTTGGTTGGGGACTCTCTTGGGACCTTCCCTCTCGTCCTCCTCATCCCTTCCACCTGGTTTAGTGCTACTCCAATTCTCTTGTGTGAACTTGTGTGAACTTTGCGATTGAGTTAAGATTCTATGGCAGCATACCCCCTAGTGCGCTGAAATCGATAACTCAAGACACACTTCACCTTTCCGTACGATTCAACTTGGGAATTGTAGCCACGGAGTAGAGCTACAACATATCTGGGTTTGGTGAAGTTTTAACCGTGAAATTTCCATCGACGGCGTTTCTTGTGAACTCGACTTTTCTGTTCAGAAACTAGGCCCAACGATGTTGAGATATTTTGGCTCCTAATCTTCATAGACTCCGTCCATAGTCTCTAACACCTACTGTGCCTCACTTGTTGACTTCTTGACTCTGCTTGTACTGTACTCTATATACTTATACCTGCATGCTTACACTTGCTAGGTTGTGTTCACTGTACTGTTTGCTTTCCTTTACATAACTCTGCATGTGAACTGGCCTTATGGCCCTTTGCTTGTGCTCAGACTGTGTGGTGACTTTGTGATCCACCCTGAGCTTACTTTGCTTTTCTTGACTGGTCTTGTGACCTCTTGTTCTCCCCCACTTTGCCTATGGGGGTGTGTCAAACTTATATCTGCTATGGTCTATTTAGGCTGTAGTGGGGTAGCTCTTAGAGGGTACAACACTTATGTGTTTCCTATTTGTACCCATCTCATTTCTAGTTCATTCATTCATTCGTCTATCTTACTCACATGTAGTACTGTCCTTGACTTCTCTTTAGGTGAGCCGTCATTGGGAAAGGGGCATTTAGCGTTGTAGTTCGGTACATCCAAATCTACGCGTTTTGAGTTAGGAGCTCAAATTTGAAGCTCCAAGTGTAGAAGTCCTTCCCGTCGAAGAGTGTGCATGTCACGAGTTTCAAAGTTGTCAGAAACGTGTTATGAACAGATGCTAATGCTTCGACATGCGATCTCTGTTAGAATAGCGGAATGGGCTGAACTAGCAAGAATGGGGTAGAAATAGCTAACCCCCTTTTAGCATACCTCACTATAGACTAGCACAAATATATGTTTGACAATCGCTCTGTTTGAACAGGTACTTGTCCTTGGCAATTGTCTAATGTGAAAAAGCGCTCAGAGTGATGCCCGGGAGGGAGGCCTTCTGGCAAAGCTGGAGCCGTCAACTCTTATGGGTTGATGTTGGCTCTCCAGGGCGCTGATGTGGGCGATGAGTTGCTCGATGAGAGCATAATCAACTATTGTCACTCTTATGGTGACATTTGAAGGCTGATGTGCTGGATTTTCCTAGTCTCCCAACAGTTAGCGCATGGCTTGATGATTGCTTATAAGACCATATATTTATAATGAAAGTCATTTTGTGAAACTTTTGTTTAGCAGATCCTTTAATCCAAATGAGCTTTCATACCATGTTAGAATATGAAAGGATCTTGGATAGGATAAGCCTGTTATAGTAGGTAGCGCTAGTCTTTGTAGTGGGAACCTTGATCATAGTGAACATGTCAGTCTGTAACATTACAGTCTGTAACCTCCGATGCAGTTGTGTCAGTTGAAGCATGTCACAACTTCTTGGTCCAAGTTGGTCAGCAGTTGCGACAGTTAACTCGCAACTGTTGACCTGCGTGCCTTTTATGGGCTATCGTGGTTGTAGTACAGGTGCCGCTTCGCTAGTAGCAGGTGTGATAAGTTTGCACCTTCTGGAATGCTAAAAGCGATTCACGCCTGACTTCAACAGCTTCTAAAATTTGATGCTGAGTCTGCTGGGCTCGAGATTGGAGGATTTTCTTGCTACCCTGCTTGGCCTATCAACTCCTTCACTGGTGCTCCTCCCACTTCTGCACCAAAATGGAAAGAGTAGAGGAAAAAGACAAAAGACAGCTCAGCAAGATGATGGGCTGTGTATGTTTGCTCAAGGTGGATGCAGAAAGATTTAGAAACCAGGATGGCATGACATGGCATATGGTGACCCCCCGGGGGTTTCAGGAGAATGCAACACAACTCACGTTTTTTGCCCATTGGATCAACTTGTCATACGGGGTTGACTGCATGCACTTGTTGTTCCTCATCACGTATCCAGCCTTGCAGCGACACGCAGGCTTGTTGCCCACCACTGAACACCCAGCATTGCGTGGGCAAGCATGCTTGCACATGGCTGCCAAAGGGGAAAGGGGAGCACAGGAGGAAAGTGCAGGGTGTTGAGGTGCCCGACCATAGCATGCACATTGGATATTACAAGGAGCACGAGAGAGGATGGTAGGATGAAGAGAGCCAAACTCAATGCAAGTGCAGTGAGTCGAGGCAATTGTGAAAATGGGTTTGGGGTACGATGAAAGCAAGAATCTCATAATCTGCCACTGGAGCTCTTTTGCCTTGTGAGAAAATTTAAGAAAATGTGGAGCTCCCACGTCTGGTCAGAAAATGTAAGAAAGCTCTAATTTAAGGTGAACATTGCTCATGCCAGCCCCTCACCAGTGCAGACACCATTCTTGTTAGTGTAGCCTGGGCTACAGTCCCAAACCGCTTTCCCATGCTTCACCACACACACAGCATCCGCGGCACTGCTGGCAGTCGCACAAGGATCAGCACCTGGGTCAAGAGGGCGAGAAGGAAAAGGAGGAGACGCAAGTGTCTGAAGCGAGAGGGTGAGAGGCGACAGGGTGACAAGGACGAGGGAGGGAAAGAAGGAGAGAATAAATAGGGAGATAAGGAAGAGGGAGAGAAGAAAGAGGGAGAGAACGAAAAGGGAGAAAAGGAAGATTAAGAAGGAGGGTGACAAGGACAAGGAGGGAATGAAGAGGGTGAGAAGAAAGCAAGTGAGAAGGAGAGGGAGAGAAGGAAGGGGAAGAAAACGAAGGGGGAGAAGGAAGAAAGAGAGAATAAAGAGGGTGAAAAGAGGGAGAGAAAGCTGAGTGAGAGAAGGAAGAGGAGAGGGTGAGAAGGAAAAGGAGGAGACGCAAGTGTGCAAAGCGAGAGGGTGAGAGGCGATAGGGTGACAAAGACGAGGGAGGGAAAGAATAAGGGGAGAAAAAAGAAGGAGATAAGGAAGAGGGAGAGAAGGAAGAGGGAGAGAAGGAAAAGGGAGAAAGGAAGTGTAAGAAGGAGGGTGATAGAGACGAGGATTGAAGTAAGAGGGTGCGAAGAAAGAGAGGGAGAGAAGGAAGGGGAAGAAAACGAAGGGGGACATGGAAGAAAGAGAGAATGAAGAGGGTGAAAAGAGGGAGAGAAAGTCGACCAGAGAAGGAAGAGGAGAGGGTGAGAAGGAAGAGGCTCACCAACACACTGGCCATCTATCATGCTGAGCCCCTTATTGCAGATGCAGGGTGGGTCGGCAGTGGCATTGCAGGTGGAGTTGGTTGGACACACAATGGTGGCAGAGGAGGGTGGGGGCACTGCAGACAACAGGGCAGGACTACCAAGGGGCAGGGGAAGTAAGGATGGGGGTGGGTAATTAAGATGCGGATACAGATAGCAGGGGAGGGACAAGAGAGGAGCGTATAGATAGCAGGGGAGGGACGAGATGGAAGAGCTTAAGTAAGAGACACATTGTGGTGAGTGGGAAGAGACCCATAGTGGTGAGTGGGAAGAGACACACTGTGGTGAGTGGGAAGAGACACACTGTGGTGAGTGGAGAGAGACACACTGTGGTGAGTGGGAAGAGTCACACTGTGGTGAGTGGGAAGAGACACACTGTGGTGAGTGGAGAGAGACACACTGTGGTGAGTGGAGAGAGACACACTATGGTGACTGGAAGAGGCACACTGTGGTGAGTGGGAAGAGACACACTGTGGTGAGTGGAGAGAGACACACTGTGGTGAGTGGAGAGAGACACACTATGGTGAGTGGGAAGAGACACACTGTGGTGAGTGGGAAGAGACACACTGTGGTGAGTGGAGAGAGACACACTGTGGTGAGTGGAGAGAGACACACTATGGTGAGTGGGAAGAGACACACTGTGGTGAGTGGGAAGAGACACACTGTGCTGAGTGGGAAGAGACACACTGTGGTGAGTGGGAAGAGACACACTGTGGTGAGTGGAAAGAGACACACTGTGGTGAGTGGAAAGAGACACACTGTGGTGAGTGGGAAGAGACACACTGTGGTGAGTGGGAAGAGACACACTGTGTTGAGTGGGAAGAGACACACTGTGGTGAGTGGAAAGAGACACACTGTGGTGAGTGGGAAGAGACATACTGTGGTGAGTGGGAAGAGACACACTGTGGTGAGTGGGAAGAGACACACTGTGTTGAGTGGGAAGAGACACACTGTGGTGAGTGGAAAGAGATACACTGTGGTGAGTGGAAAGTGACACACTGTGGTGAGTGGGAAGAGACACACTGTGTTGAGTGGGAAGAGACACACTGTGTTGAGTGGGAAGAGACACACTGTGGTGAGTGGAAAGAGATACACTGTGGTGAGTGGAGAGAGACACACTATGGTGAGTGGGAAGAGACACACTGTGCTGAGTGGGAAGAGACACACTGTGGTGAGTGGGAAGAGACACACTGTGGTGAGTGGAAAGAGACACACTGTGGTGAGTGGGAAGAGACATACTGTGGTGAGTGGGAAGAGACACACTGTGGTGAGTGGGAAGAGACACACTGTGTTGAGTGGGAAGAGACACACTGTGTTGAGTGGGAAGAGACACACTGTGGTGAGTGGAAAGAGACACACTGTGGTGAGTGGAAAGAGACACACTGTGGTGAGTGGAAAGAGACACACTGTGGTGAGTGGAAAGAGATACACTGTGGTGAGTGGGAAGAGACACACTGTGTTGAGTGGGAAGAGACACACTGTGGTGAGTGGAAAGAGACACACTGTGGTGAGTGGAAAGAGACACACTGTGGTGAGTGGAAAGAGACACACTGTGGTGAGTGGAAAGAGATACACTGTGGTGAGTGGAAAGTGACACACTGTGGTGAGTGGAAAGAGACACACTGTGGTGAGTGGGAAGAGACACACTGTGGTGAGTGGAAAGAGACACACTGTGGTGAGTGGAAAGAGATACACTGTGGTGAGTGGGAAGAGACACACTGTGTTGAGTGGGAAGAGACACACTGTGGTGAGTGGGAAGAGACATACTGTGGTGAGTGGGAAGAGACACACTGTGGTGAGTGGGAAGAGACACACTGTGGTGAGTGGAAAGAGACACACTGTGGTGAGTGGGAAGAGACACACTATGGTGAGTGGGAAGAGTCACACTGTGGTGAGTGGAAAGAGACACACTGTGGTGAGTGGGAAGAGACACACTGTGTTGAGTGGGAAGAGACACACTGTGGTGAGTGGAAAGAGACACACTGTGGTGAGTGGAAAGAGATACACTGTGGTGAGTGGAAAGTGACACACTGTGGTGAGTGGAAAGAGACACACTGTGGTGAGTGGGAAGAGACACACTGTGGTGAGTGGAAAGAGACACACTGTGGTGAGTGGAAAGAGACACACCGTGGTGAGTGGAAAGAGAAACACTGTGGTGAGTGGAAAGAGACACACTGTGGTGAGTGGAAAGAGACACACTGTGGTGAGTGGAAAGAGACACACTGTGGTGAGTGGGAAGAGACACACTGTGGTGAGTGGGAAGAGACACACTGTGGTGAGTGGAAAGAGACACACTGTGGTGAGTGGAAAGAGACACACTGTGGTGAGTGGAAAGAGACACACCGTGGTGAGTGGAAAGAGAAACACTGTGGTGAGTGGAAAGAGACACACTGTGGTGAGTGGAAAGAGACACACTGTGGTGAGTGGAAAGAGACACACTGTGGTGAGTGGGAAGAGACACACTGTGGTGAGTGGGAAGAGACACACTGTGGTGAGTGGAAAGAGACACACTGTGGTGAGTGGAAAGAGACACACTGTGGTGAGTGGAAAGAGACACACTGTGGTGAGTGGAAAGAGACACACTGTGGTGAGTGGAAAGAGACACACTGTGGTGAGTGGAAAGAGACACACTGTGCTGAGTGGGAAGAGACACACTGTGGTGAGTGGGAAGAGACACACTGTGGTGAGTGGAAAGAGACACACTGTGGTGAGTGGAAAGAGACACACTGTGGTGAGTGGAAAGAGACACACTGTGGTGAGTGGAAAGAGACACACTGTGGTGAGTGGAAAGAGACACACTGTGGTGAGTGGAAAGAGACACACTGTGGTGAGTGGGAAGAGACACACTGTGGTGAGTGGGAAGAGACACACTGTGGTGAGTGGAAAGAGACACACTGTGGTGAGTGGAAAGAGACACACTGTGGTGAGTGGAAAGAGACACACTGTGGTGAGTGGAAAGAGACACACTGTAGTGAGTGGAAAGAGACACACTGTGGTGAGTGGAAAGAGACACACTGTGGTGAGTGGGAAGAGACACACTGTGGTGAGTGGAAAGAGACACACTGTGGTGAGTGGGAAGAGACACACTGTGGTGAGTGGGAAGAGACACACTGTGGTGAGTGGGAAGAGACACACTGTGGTGAGTGGAAAGAGACACACTGTGGTGAGTGGAAAGAGACACACTGTGGTGAGTGGAAAGAGACACACTGTAGTGAGTGGAAAGAGACACACTGTGGTGAGTGGAAAGAGACACACTGTGGTGAGTGGGAAGAGACACACTGTGGTGAGTGGAAAGAGACACACTGTGGTGAGTGGGAAGAGACACACTGTGGTGAGTGGGAAGAGACACACTGTGGTGAGTGGAAAGAGACACACTGTGGTGAGTGGAAAGAGACACACTGTGGTGAGTGGAAAGAGACACACTGTGGTGAGTGGGAAGAGACACACTGTGGTGAGTGGGAAGAGACACACTGTGGTGAGTGGGAAGAGACACACTGTGGTGAGTGGAAAGAGACACACTGTGGTGAGTGGAAAGTGACACACTGTGGTGAGTGGGAAGAGACACACTGTGCTGAGTGGGAAGAGACACACTGTGGTGAGTGGAAAGTGACACACTGTGGTGAGTGGAAAGAGACACACTGTGGTGAGTGGAAAGAGACACACTGTGGTGAGTGGGAAGAGACACACTATGGTGAGTGGAAAGTGACACACTGTGGTGAGTGGAAAGAGACACACTGTGGTGAGTGGAAAGAGACACACTGTGGTGAGTGGGAAGAGACACACTATGGTGAGTGGAAAGAGACACACTGTGGTGAGTGGGAAGAGACACACTGTGGTGAGTGGGAAGAGACACACTGTGGTGAGTGGAAAGAGACACACTGTGGTGAGTGGAAAGAGACACACTGTGGTGAGTGGGAAGAGACACACTGTGGTGAGTGGAAAGAGACACACTGTGGTGAGTGGAAAGAGACACACTGTGGTGAGTGGAAAGAGACACACTGTGGTGAGTGGAAAGAGACACACTGTGGTGAGTGGGAAGAGACACACTGTGGTGAGTGGGAAGAGACACACTGTGGTGAGTGGAAAGAGACACACTGTGGTGAGTGGAAAGAGACACACTGTGGTGAGTGGAAAGAGACACACCGTGGTGAGTGGAAAGAGAAACACTGTGGTGAGTGGAAAGAGACACACTGTGGTGAGTGGAAAGAGACACACTGTGGTGAGTGGAAAGAGACACACTGTGGTGAGTGGGAAGAGACACACTGTGGTGAGTGGGAAGAGACACACTGTGGTGAGTGGAAAGAGACACACTGTGGTGAGTGGAAAGAGACACACTGTGGTGAGTGGAAAGAGACACACTGTGGTGAGTGGAAAGAGACACACTGTGGTGAGTGGAAAGAGACACACTGTGGTGAGTGGAAAGAGACACACTGTGGTGAGTGGAAAGAGACACACTGTGGTGAGTGGGAAGAGACACACTGTGGTGAGTGGGAAGAGACACACTGTGGTGAGTGGAAAGAGACACACTGTGGTGAGTGGAAAGAGACACACTGTGGTGAGTGGGAAGAGACACACTGTGGTGAGTGGGAAGAGACACACTGTGGTGAGTGGGAAGAGACACACTGTGGTGAGTGGAAAGAGACACACTGTGGTGAGTGGAAAGAGACACACTGTGGTGAGTGGAAAGAGACACACTGTAGTGAGTGGAAAGAGACACACTGTGGTGAGTGGAAAGAGACACACTGTGGTGAGTGGGAAGAGACACACTGTGGTGAGTGGAAAGAGACACACTGTGGTGAGTGGGAAGAGACACACTGTGGTGAGTGGAAAGAGACACACTGTGGTGAGTGGAAAGAGACACACTGTGGTGAGTGGAAAGAGACACACTGTAGTGAGTGGAAAGAGACACACTGTGGTGAGTGGAAAGAGACACACTGTGGTGAGTGGGAAGAGACACACTGTGGTGAGTGGGAAGAGACACACTGTGGTGAGTGGAAAGAGACACACTGTGGTGAGTGGAAAGAGACACACTGTGGTGAGTGGAAAGTGACACACTGTGGTGAGTGGGAAGAGACACACTGTGCTGAGTGGGAAGAGACACACTGTGGTGAGTGGAAAGTGACACACTGTGGTGAGTGGAAAGAGACACACTGTGGTGAGTGGAAAGTGACACACTATGGTGAGTGGGAAGAGACACACTGTGGTGAGTGGGAAGAGACACACTGTGGTGAGTGGGAAGAGACACACTGTGGTGAGTGGGAAGAGAGACACTGTGGTGAGTGGGAAGAGACAGAATGTGGTGAGTGGGAAGAGACACACTGTGTTGAGTGGGAAGAGACACACTATGGTGAGTGGGAAGAGACACACTGTGGTGAGTGGAAAGAGACACACTGTGGTGAGTGGAAAGAAACACACTGTGGTGAGTGGGAAGAGATACACTGTGGTGAGTGGGAAGAGACACACTGTGGTGAGTGGGAAGAGACACACTGTGTTGAGTGGGAAGAGACACAGTATGGTGAGTGGGAAGAGACACACTGTGGTGAGTGGGAAGAGACACACTGTGCTGAGTGGGAAGAGACACACTATGGTGAGTGGGAAGAGACACACTGTGGTGAGTGGAAAGAGACACACTGTGGTGAGTGGAAAGAAACACACTGTGGTGAGTGGGAAGAGATACACTGTGGTGAGTGGGAAGAGACACAGTATGGTGAGTGGGAAGAGACACACTGTGGTGAGTGGGAAGAGACACACTGTGCTGAGTGGGAAGAGACACACTGTGGTGAGTGGGAAGAGACACACTGTGTTGAGTGGGAAGAGACACACTGTGTTGAGTGGGAAGAGACACACTGTGGTGAGTGGGAAGAGACACACTGTGTTGAGTGGGAAGAGACACACTGTGGTGAGTGGGAAGAGACACACTGTGGTGAGTGGGAAGAGACACACTGTGGTGAGTGGGAAGAGAGACACTATGGTGAGTGGGAAGAGATACACTGTGGTGAGTGGGAAGAGACACACTGTGGTGAGTGGGAAGAGAGACACTATGGTGAGTGGGAAGAGATACACTGTGGTGAGTGGGAAGAGACACACTGTGGTGAGTGGGAAGAGACACACTGTGGTGAGTGGGAAGAGACACACTGTGGTGAGTGGGAAGAGACACACTGTGGTGAGTGGGAAGAGAGACACTATGGTGAGTGGGAAGAGATACACTGTGGTGAGTGGGAAGAGACACACTGTGGTGAGTGGGAAGAGACACACTGTGGTGAGTGGGAAGAGACACACTGTGTTGAGTGGGAAGAGACACACTGTGCTGAGTGGGAAGAGACACACTGTGGTGAGTGGGAAGAGACACACTGTGGTGAGTGGGAAGAGACACACTGTGGTGAGTGGGAAGAGACACACTGTGGTGAGTGGAAAGAGACACACTGTGGTGAGTGGAAAGAAACACACTGTGGTGAGTGGAAAGAGATACACTGTGGTGAGTGGGAAGAGACACACTGTGGTGAGTGGGAAGAGACACACTGTGCTGAGTGGGAAGAGACACACTGTGGTGAGTGGAAAGAAACACACTGTGGTGAGTGGAAAGAGATACACTGTGGTGAGTGGGAAGAGACACACTGTGGTGAGTGGGAAGAGACACACTGTGTTGAGTGGGAAGAGACACACTGTGCTGAGTGGGAAGAGACACACTGTGGTGAGTGGGAAGAGACACACTGTGGTGAGTGGGAAGAGACACACTGTGGTGAGTGGGAAGAGACACACTGTGGTGAGTGGAAAGAGACACACTGTGGTGAGTGGAAAGAAACACACTGTGGTGAGTGGAAAGAGATACACTGTGGTGAGTGGGAAGAGACACACTGTGGTGAGTGGGAAGAGACACACTGTGGTGAGTGGAAAGAGACACACTGTGGTGAGTGGAAAGAAACACACTGTGGTGAGTGGAAAGAGATACACTGTGGTGAGTGGGAAGAGACACACTGTGGTGAGTGGGAAGAGACACACTGTGTTGAGTGGGAAGAGACACACTGTGCTGAGTGGGAAGAGACACACTGTGGTGAGTGGGAAGAGACACACTGTGGTGAGTGGAAAGAAACACACTGTGGTGAGTGGAAAGAGATACACTGTGGTGAGTGGGAAGAGACACACTGTGGTGAGTGGGAAGAGACACACTGTGTTGAGTGGGAAGAGACACACTGTGGTGAGTGGAAAGAGACACACTGTGGTGAGTGGGAAGAGACACACTGTGGTGAGTGGGAAGAGACACACTGTGTTGAGTGGGAAGAGACACACTGTGGTGAGTGGGAAGAGACACACTGTGGTGAGTGGGAAGAGACACACTGTGTTGAGTGGGAAGAGACACACTGTGGTGAGTGGAAAGAGACACACTGTGGTGAGTGGGAAGAGACACACTGTGGTGAGTGGGAAGAGACACACTGTGGTGAGTGGGAAGAGACACACTGTGTTGAGTGGGAAGAGACACACTGTGCTGATTGGGAAGAGACACACTGTGTTGAGTGGGAAGAGACACACTGTGCTGAGTGGGAAGAGACACACTGTGCTGAGTGGGAAGAGACACACTGTGGTGAGTGGGAAGAGACACACTATGGTGAGTGGGAAGAGACACACTGTGGTGAGTGGAAAGAGACACACTGTGGTGAGTGGGAAGAGACACACTGTGGTGAGTGGGAAGAGAGACACTATGGTGAGTGGGAAGAGACACACCGTGCTGATTGGGAAGAAACACACTGTGCTGAGTGGGAAGAGACACACTGTGCTGAGTGGGAAGAGACACACTGTGGTGAGTGGGAAGAGACACACTGTGCTGAGTGGGAAGAGACACACTGTGGTGAGTGGGAAGAGACACACTGTGTTGAGTGGGAAGAGACACACTGTGGTGAGTGGAAAGAGACACACTGTGGTGAGTGGGAAGAGACACACTGTGGTGAGTGGGAAGAGACACACTGTGCTGATTGGGAAGAGACACACTGTGGTGAGTGGGAAGAGAGACACTATGGTGAGTGGGAAGAGACACACCGTGCTGATTGGGAAGAAACACACTGTGCTGAGTGGGAAGAGACACACTGTGCTGAGTGGGAAGAGACACACTGTGCTGAGTGGGAAGAGACACACTGTGGTGAGTGGGAAGAGACACACTATGGTGAGTGGGAAGAGACACACTGTGGTGAGTGGAAAGAGACACACTGTGGTGAGTGGAAAGAAACACACTGTGGTGAGTGGAAAGAGATACACTGTGGTGAGTGGGAAGAGACACACTGTGGTGAGTGGGAAGAGACACACTGTGTTGAGTGGGAAGAGACACACTGTGGTGAGTGGGAAGAGACACACTGTGGTGAGTGGGAAGAGACACACTGTGTTGAGTGGGAAGAGACACACTGTGCTGATTGGGAAGAGACACACTGTGCTGAGTGGGAAGAGACACACTGTGCTGAGTGGGAAGAGACACACTGTGGTGAGTGGGAAGAGACACACTGTGGTGAGTGGGAAGAGACACACTGTGGTGAGTGGGAAGAGAGACACTATGGTGAGTGGGAAGAGACACACCGTGCTGATTGGGAAGAAACACACTGTGCTGAGTGGGAAGAGACACACTGTGGTGAGTGGGAAGAGACACACTATGGTGAGTGGGAAGAGACACAGTATGGTGAGTGGGAAGAGACACACTGTGGTGAGTGGAAAGAAACACACTGTGGTGAGTGGAAAGAGATACACTGTGGTGAGTGGGAAGAGACACACTGTGGTGAGTGGGAAGAGACACACTGTGTTGAGTGGGAAGAGACACACTGTGCTGAGTGGGAAGAGACACACTGTGCTGAGTGGGAAGAGACACACTGTGGTGAGTGGGAAGAGACACACTGTGGTGAGTGGGAAGAGACACACTGTGTTGAGTGGGAAGAGACACACTGTGCTGAGTGGGAAGAGACACACTGTGCTGAGTGGGAAGAGACACACTGTGCTGAGTGGGAAGAGACACACTGTGGTGAGTGGGAAGAGACACACTATGGTGAGTGGGAAGAGACACACTGTGGTGAGTGGAAAGAGACACACTGTGGTGAGTGGGAAGAGACACACTGTGTTGAGTGGGAAGAGACACACTGTGTTGAGTGGGAAGAGACACACTGTGCTGAGTGGGAAGAGACACACTGTGCTGAGTGGGAAGAGACACACTGTGCTGAGTGGGAAGAGACACACTGTGGTGAGTGGGAAGAGACACACTATGGTGAGTGGGAAGAGACACACTGTGGTGAGTGGAAAGAGACACACTGTGCTGAGTGGGAAGAGACACACTGTGCTGAGTGGGAAGAGACACACTGTGGTGAGTGGGAAGAGACACACTATGGTGAGTGGGAAGAGACACACTGTGGTGAGTGGAAAGAGACACACTGTGGTGAGTGGGAAGAGACACACTGTGGTGAGTGGGAAGAGAGACACTATGGTGAGTGGGAAGAGACACACCGTGCTGATTGGGAAGAAACACACTGTGCTGAGTGGGAAGAGACACACTGTGCTGAGTGGGAAGAGACACACTGTGCTGAGTGGGAAGAGACACACTGTGGTGAGTGGGAAGAGACACACTGTGGTGAGTGGAAAGAGACACACTGTGGTGAGTGGAAAGAAACACACTGTGGTGAGTGGAAAGAGATACACTGTGGTGAGTGGGAAGAGACACACTGTGGTGAGTGGGAAGAGACACACTGTGCTGAGTGGGAAGAGACACACTATGGTGAGTGGGAAGAGACACAGTATGGTGAGTGGGAAGAGACACACTGTGGTGAGTGGGAAGAGAGACACTATGGTGAGTGGGAAGAGACACACCGTGCTGATTGGGAAGAAACACACTGTGCTGAGTGGGAAGAGACACACTGTGCTGAGTGGGAAGAGACACACTGTGGTGAGTGGGAAGAGACACACTATGGTGAGTGGGAAGAGACACACTGTGGTGAGTGGAAAGAGACACACTGTGGTGAGTGGAAAGAAACACACTGTGGTGAGTGGAAAGAGATACACTGTGGTGAGTGGGAAGAGACACACTGTGGTGAGTGGGAAGAGACACACTGTGTTGAGTGGGAAGAGAGACACTATGGTGAGTGGGAAGAGACACACCGTGCTGATTGGGAAGAAACACACTGTGCTGAGTGGGAAGAGACACACTGTGCTGAGTGGGAAGAGACACACTGTGGTGAGTGGGAAGAGACACACTGTGGTGAGTGGGAAGAGAGACACTATGGTGAGTGGGAAGAGACACACCGTGCTGATTGGGAAGAAACACACTGTGCTGAGTGGGAAGAGACACACTGTGCTGAGTGGGAAGAGACACACTGTGGTGAGTGGGAAGAGACACACTATGGTGAGTGGGAAGAGACACACTGTGGTGAGTGGAAAGAGACACACTGTGGTGAGTGGAAAGAAACACACTGTGGTGAGTGGAAAGAGATACACTGTGGTGAGTGGGAAGAGACACACTGTGGTGAGTGGGAAGAGACACACTGTGGTGAGTGGGAAGAGACACACTGTGGTGAGTGGGAAGAGACACACTTTGGTGAGTGGGAAGAGACACACTGTGGTGAGTGGAAAGAGACACACTGTGGTGAGTGGGAAGAGACACACTGTGGTGAGTGGGAAGAGACACACTGTGGTGAGTGGGAAGAGTCACACTGTGGTGAGTGGGAAGAGACACACTGTGGTGAGTGGGAAGAGACACACTTTGGTGAGTGGGAAGAGACACACTGTGGTGAGTGGAAAGAGACACACTGTGGTGAGTGGGAAGAGACACACTGTGGTGAGTGGGAAGAGTCACACTGTGGTGAGTGGGAAGAGACACACTGTGGTGAGTGGGAAGAGACACACTTTGGTGAGTGGGAAGAGACACACTGTGGTGAGTGGAAAGAGACACACTGTGGTGAGTGGGAAGAGACACACTGTGGTGAGTGGGAAGAGACACACTGTGGTGAGTGGAAAGAGACACACTGTGGTGAGTGCTATTCTGCAATGTCTTCAATCCTGTTGTCTTGATGTTTTCGATGCTCACCCCACTACGGCCCTTGTCGCTCGTCAGCAGGTCGATCCATTTTGCCACCCATCCAAATGATGTCGCGGCAAGCATGCCGGTACCGACATGCCCGTCAGACATTTTGTCGGGCACTTTCTGCATACAACACCAGCATTCGCGCATCATAATGAGCGGAGCATACAGAAACACAGCCCTACACCCCCCTGAAAGACTTTAACGTGCAACTCACATCGCGTATGGGGTGGTCGCAGTCGGCGAGCCTGTCCTCCACCACTGCTTGTGATGGCGGCACCCACGCCCACGTCCTACCGGGACGCCCTAGCTCGGCCAGGACAGCCGTGCGGAAAAACCTGAAACATCATGGTAGAGAGAGGCGGTCAGCACGTGACACCCTTTGTCAGCAAATAACAAGCGTGACATCGACGACAATTCACAACTCACTTCAGCACGCGGATGGCCTTGTCGCGGTGCCACAGTTTACCGGTATGCGGGTCTATGTGCCGTACAGAGGTCCTGCACTCCTGTCCCTCGGCCTTTAACAGATCTCCTGGGTATGGGATGGCTACGACGCTGCAGTGTGATCCTGGAAGCGGACCGCCTCTGCACATGCAACGCACGCCGACGTCGATCACAACGGATGTCGAGAGGGCAACAAAACGAAAAGAAAACTGGACAAAGAGGAACGGACTCACGTCGTTCTCAGGGGGATAACGGGGATGTCGGTGTCGAAACCGTCGCAAAGCAAGAATGGTCGGCGATCTTCATGGCAGCTCGAAGTGAGCCGACGCCGATTGTCCACAACCGCTGGTCGGCCGGCGCTATGCGCAACCAAGCGAACGTGCACGCACGGTTGGGCTTAAAGGGCACTATCCCATATGACGACATAAGTCTGACGATAACCGGCAACCATGCGGCCCCCAAACGGCGCCAACATCTGCCCTACGCGTCCATCTATTGTAAGTCGGCGCCTACATCTACCCTACGCGACTACTCGAGTCTCACTTGATGCCGAATCCCAAGCAGCGCTCGTTGAACTCTTTCTTGTTGTCGCGAAGGATGGCGAAGTCGTCCCACTTGAGAGTGAAGCTGAGACCGTGACCCATTCGGTGACGTAGACGAAAGTCATGTGAAGTCGGTGCCGACTTATCGGCGTCAGGGATCGACTCTATGAAGACAAAGGGAAAGGCGCGGGCGAGTAAGGGACAATAGCACGGACTAAGGGAGGGAGGGCGCAGAGAACACTCCAGGGAGTGTAGAAATTGTGGGTGGGTGGGAAGGGACCGAAATTTTGGTCATGCAGGACAAAATCGAAGCTGGTTGCAGCAAGCCTGCAGAATTTCGAAGATTTGGGGTTGTAGCGATGCACGCGGAAATCGGCATGCTTGTCGCATATGGCGCGCCGTTTTTGCTTGACATTGGCTGCATCGAAATCGTTGGAACCGAGCTGGAGACGACGGGAAACTCAGGTGAGTTCTGAAAATCATCAGAATTGTAAGAAATCTTAAACAGTTGAAGAAAAATCTTCGACGCTACCCATGCTTGCTTGAAATTTGGGCCAGGTTTAGCTGTGCTGTCAAGATGCTGATCTTGCGGTGGAGACGCGGTGTCGAAAATCAACGGTCATGGTTGCTTTCGGGCTGTTTCGTCTGGACGAGGCTCTTGGGGGTTGAGACGGAGGAGTCTCTGCAGTTTCTGCTTCATTGTTTGAGACTGAGCTGAGAAGTTGGTAGAACTCATCTCTGCTGTAGGGTGTACAGAGCGTAACTCCTGCTCTGGTGAAGAGAAAACAGAGGCAAGTAATGGACTACTGATAGCAGTTGATGTTGTGAAGCTGCCGTCTTCGGCGTCGGTCTGTAAATCATCCAGGAAGCTGCTGATAATATCATCCTCTGTATTTTTTATTTCAGGTGGAGTATGAAGCCCTTTCTTGAAGATTCTGGCATTATGGTCGATGGAGATCTCTGCTACTCTTCAGCATCATCTGAAGTCTTTGATGCTTCCTCTGCTTCAAATAATGAATCTACTTCAGGTGAAGTCATCTCCTTCAATTGTAGAGTGAAAACTCCATTTTCAGCTGCTGCTACCCCAAGCTGTATATTGCCCTTGATAAGAACAATTTTTTTGGTGCTGATATCTCCTTGTAGGTTAACTCCCTTGGAGAGAAGCTGAGTTCCAGAGAGAAGGTTGAAGCCCAAGCCATCAACCAAAAGTATGGCAGTGATCTCCATTATAATTCCTGTTGTTGAAGACTGTAGTAGAATATTTCCAACTGTTGTTGCTTGCAGCCGACTCTTGTTTGCAATGGTGATGATGCAGGGTTGCTCCAGAACTCTCTTGTTGAAGGCCAGAGAATTATCAGCCGAAGTCATGTGCTGACCTCAACACGTGTGAAGGAACCATGCAGAAGAAGGTGAGTCTTCCTTTGTTGTATAAGGGTGTGAAACTGTATGGTTCACTGTTGTCAAGTAATTAAGCACGTTTCTTAATGTTGGTGCCTTTGCAGGAACAGTTGAAGCTCGAGCCTGATGCTGCTGCTGCTGTTGCTGATAAAACATTTGTTGAAGTTGTTGTTGAACCTGTGGCAGTTGCTGTTGCAAATCCAGTGGTTGCTGTTGTTGAGTCTGCTGCAGCCGTTGTTCCTGCTGATATAATTTTCCTGCTTGTGTTGAACTTGCTGATGTTGAAGATTCAGCTGCTTGTAACACTTCTCTGTTGAATGTCCAGATTTGTTGCAGATTTTGCAGAACTGTCTTGACTTGTTGGTGTAGAAACTCAACACGTTTTGCTGTTGCTCTTCATCTTGGGAAGTTGAACTGATTTGCTTGACCCTCTCTTCATGCAGGTCCATGTTTTGCTGCTCCGCCAGAAGTGCAGCACAGAGAGCACCTCCAGATAATCGTGCGTGAGTACGTCAAATAGCTAGGCACTGATTCCAGCCTAGTCCGAGTCCCAAACGTAGAGTTGTCACAAACATGTCCTGAGGAATTTTCCCACCGCACTTTAGTAGCTGATCCCATAAATCTCTGATTCTGTTGATGTAGCTTGAAGCTTTTTCTCCTGTCTTCATTTGTATCAGTGTAAGTTGTCGCAAAATCATGCTCTGTATCACTACATCTTTCCCCATGTACAGACTCTGCAAGTAGGTCCAAGCGGCTTCTGCTGGTGCGTTGAAGTTGACGTACGAACGGATGCCAAGCTGCTTCGTTTGAGTAAAATTGCGTATCAATACTGTGTAAGCCGTTAAAGACTCACTGTTGTGTTTCTGTTGTTGTGCTCGTGTGCCTGCTGCAGGAAATGGCGTTGCTCCATTGAAGAGGTGCGAGATGTCAGCAGAGTGCACGAGAAGCTCAAATTCGAAACTCCAGCTATAGAAGTCGTTGCCATCGAACGGCATAGTTGTCTTGATCTTAGTCACCTTGCTTATGCTAGTCATGGTTCTCATCATTAAATCGTCTTCTCTCTGTTGTTGCACTCCTTGGTGCTGTCACCGAATATGCACGGTTGTGCATATAAGGTGCCAGTTTTGCTGCGGTGTAGTTCCAAGTGTAATATTACTGTATGTGAAGATTTGGGGTGTAGGTAGTTGGGGACCAGGGAGAGTGTCGCGAAGTTGGTAGGAGAGCTCCGAGGAGTGCAATCCAAGGAACCAATGTGGATGCACCAACCCAGGCTCGAAGCGCACATTGAGAAATGCACGCTTCGAGCCTGGGCCAGGTAAATTCACTCTCACACACACACTCGTTGCTTTCCGTTTGTTATCCTTTCGTATAGTGGATCGTTGTTACCTTAATCCTACAGCTAGGTGACACACCACTCAAGGAGGACCCTTGGGGTGGGAGCTTTGTCTCTTTCATAACAAACGGAAAGCAGTGCGCGCGTGCAAGGATGGACGGGTATGAGCTGCGTTATGGCAGGACGTATGGTCGTCGCGAGGAGGAGCGCGCATGGCGCGGACACTCGCGTGAGCGTGGGCGATCGCTGGAGAGATCGCCGCGGAGGCCTGCCTTTCGCGCGGATCAGGTGACTCTCGTGCCCGAGCGCCGAGCGGGCGGATCCGCACGAGCATGAGCGGGCGGATCGGGATCGGCTCTGGCGGGAAGTGATCCGTGGCGAACGGAACCGCGCCATGGAGCAGGTGGCGATCGGGGGTATCGTCAGGAGACGGGAGCGTATCGCTCGCCGGAGGCAAGCTATCGCCGTCGCGAAGATCGGAGTCGCGGGCGAGGCTTGGAGGAATTGTTTTCGGGCCGAGAGGGAGACCTCAACGCCGACGGAGAAGAAGTGGACGAGAGTACGGACACGTCGCAGAAATCCGAGCGTGACGACGAGGCTGAGGTCGGCGGCGGAGCCCAGGAGGAGGGCGCAAGCGAGCAGCGCGACATGCCCGCGGAAGCAACGGAGGCAAACCCTGCTAAGGCAGGCGAGGCGGAAGAGACAGGCGGAACTGGCAGCGTACCAAGCGCGCGTAAGGAAGCGCACGTTTCTGGACAGCAGGCGCACGGCGGGGAGCAGGGTGGCGGCGCGTCGCGCACGCCAGATCCGCGCCAGCAGAATGACGGAAAGCGGGGAAGCGGTCCGCGCGCGCCAGATCTGCGCCCGCATCATGACGAAAGGCGGGGAGGCGAGTCGCGTTCGCCTGAGCCACGTCAGCATCGTGACGGGAGACGGGGAAGCGGGTCGCGTTCGCCAGATCCGGGGAGGTATCACAGCGGGAGGCGGGGAGGCGGGTCGCGCTCGCTAGATCCATGGAGGAATCGCAGCGGGAGGCGGGGAGGCGAGTCGCGCTCGCCGGAAACGCGTCAGCAGCATCACGGAGCGCGGGGAAGCGGGTCACGCTCGCCGGATCGGCGCCAGCGCCATGAGGGAAGGCGTGGAGGCGAGTCGCGTTCGCCAAATTCGTATCGCCACCATGACGGGAGGCGGGGAAGTGGGCCACGCTCGCCGGATCTGCGCAAACATCATGAGAGAATGTGGGGAGGCGAGTCGAGTTCACCAGATCGGCACCAAGAACAGGGTGTGAGCTGGGGAAGCAAGCATCGCTCGCTGGATCAGCGTCCGCGGCGTGAAGAGAGATATGGAGGCGGGCACCGCTCGCCAAAACGTGATCTGCAGCGAGGACAGAGAGGGAGATGGGAGGAGGAGTGGCGTCACCGAGACAATCGTTATGGGCAGGAGGGAAGGAGAGCTCCACGATCCCCAACACCTGAGAAGCGCTGGCAGCACCAAGGGCAAGGGGAAGATTGGGCGCGGGCAAGGTACTCACCAGATCGGCGAGGGAGGAAGGGTGAGGAGGAAATGCGATGGGAAGCAAGACAGGATCAGCACAGAAGCAAAGGTGTAGGCAGCGGTCTGGCATATAGCATGGAGCGCGCCAGAGAAGCAAGGAAGGGGATCGAGCGGGCTAGAGGAGGAGGAACGTCAGGAAGGCAGGAAAGGGGAGCAAGTGAGTCATGGGGCGAGGGGTGTGGAAGTGCAGCGATGGCCACACGTGTGGAAGTGCCGGCGCGGTTCTCAGGAGACCAGCGCGTGGGGCCTACACTGAAGAACTACTTGATGCAAGTGGGGAATGTGAGATATAGATGTGAGCGTAGCGGCATGGATGCGGTGGATTTCTTCCTAAGTCTGCCAAATACATTGGAAGGGGAGGCGGAGACGCTGTACAGAATGAGGATGGATGAGTTATTTGAGAGGGCGGGCAGGTACGGGGAAGACCCCACAGAGGCATTTCTGAAGCGGCTGCAGCGGCAGTTTCCCGGGCATACTGCAGAAAAGATAAGGGAATTTCAGGAGTTCCGGAGAGGGAGGAGTGAGTCGTTGCTCACCTATTACAACCGGCTGATCAACTTGGCAGAGGACGTGACGTGTGGGGACATGGGTCTCTTGGTCAGCAAGTTCTTGGACGGGCTGGACAACACCATTGGTAACGGGCTGCGCATGAAGGTGTATGAGATGGGGGCAGACACAACGCTGGATGAGGTATTCGAGTTGGCAGAGAAGATGGAGCTAGCACAAAGAAAATATGAGGCATATCGGCCCAGGACCATGGAGCGAAGCCGTGGGCCGACTTGAGCAGCAGCGATCATACCTGAAGAAACGGATAAGGCAGTGGGTCGAGGAGAGAACAGGCCAGAGACACGGACATGCCACCGATGCGGACAGCCAAGACACATTCGCAAGGACTGCAAAAACTGTTACAGTTGCGGGAAACCAGGGCACCGGCGACGGGAATGCACTGAAGCACCGAAATGTGAAATCTGTGGGAGAGGAGGACATGCGGCAAAAGACTGCTACCAGCAAGAGGGAGCAGCAAAGAAGAAGCTGGAGGAACAGGAGAAGCAGATCAGCCGGCTGCAAGCGCAGCTGCAGGCACTGGGACCGCGACGCGAAGGAGAGGCAGGGATGTATGCCAGGGATGAGGAGGAAGAAGATGTAGCACAGGAAGAGCAAGGAGCACTCATGGCGTGGGGAGTGAGGGAGGATGATGAGGTGGAGCATGAGGAGCAACCTACATACATGGCATGGAGAGGGAGAGAAGAGATGGGGCTGCGCAGTGGAGGCAAGGATGGGCGAAGGGAACAGGTGAGGAAAGAGCGGGAAAGGGGGCAGAAGCCGGAAGAGAAGGAAGAGAGATGCAGAGCTGCACGTCACCCGCAGGAGCGGCTGGCATGCCAGACATCGGTGTTGCTGATCCATAATGGAGCACTGACTGTGGAAGGGGAGAAGGGAAAGATAGCTATCCTAGACACCGGAGCACAGAGTGTCATACTAGGGAAGGGGATGGCCGAGAAGCTGGGACTGTGGGCACCACACAGACATATGATGAAGGGGATGCTAGTGATGACGGCAGAGGGAGGAGAGTCAAAATGGATGCCCTGCACGAGGACTCCGATAGAACTGACAGTGCTGAAAGGGGAGAAACACGAGACGCCAGTCAGAATCAGGTGCGGGATTTCAGAGTCAGAAGATTTTGATGTGCTGGTGGGCACGGAGATGATTTATGCATTGGGCATGACCATCTGCTTTTGGAAAGAGACAGTGGAGTTCCGAACAAGGTGGTGGAGGAAGGGTGAACCGCTAGGGCAGCTGCCGGTGCAGTTTGTGAAGACAGAGCCAAAGAGGGCCTACCGTGCAGATCAGAAGGAGGTGACGGCGAAGCAGGGGGCACAAGAGGGAGTGGCTGATAAAGGGACGGGCAGGGAGCCTATGATGCGCCTCATGGATGAGCCTAGCCAATAGACCGATTGGCAGCAACCCATCCGGCTGGTGGAACTGTTCGGGGGAATAGGGGCGGGACTGGCAGCAGTGGTACGGAATGGAATAGCAGTGAAACAATGGATTTACGTGGAGCCGGCAGCAGAAGTGAGGAAAATAGCGGAGCATCATGTGTGGGAGCTGCATAGAGAGTTTCCGGAGCTGCTGAGGGGAGACGTGATCAAGGCAGCGATGAGCCGAGGAGTGAACGATGTAAAAGCAATTACGGAAGCTGAAGTGGCAAGCTGGGGGCACGTGGACCTGCTGGTGGCAGGGTGGGAGTGCCAAGGGGTATCATGGGCAGGAAAGGGCAAGGGTGAGCTAGACCCCAGGACCAAACTGATGGAGGAATTGTTCAAGATCATGGAGTGGGTGCATGCTAGGCAGGGCAGACTGGCCTACCTGCTGGAACACTTGGACATGGAAGGAGATGTCCGGGAACCAGTAAGGTTGGTAAGGGAGAGAGGGACAAGGCAGGTGGGCAAAGGGGTGAGCAGCGACACGGCGCGAATGGGAGCTTACGGACACAGCCTTAGGATGTACTGGCAGAATGTGGTGCCAGTGGAAGATCTGCAGAGGGAGATAGAGGGAGTGCAGAGGGCAGAGGGGCGGAAGGTGAGCGACATACTGGAGCCAGGAAGAACTCCAGCACCAGTAAGCAAAAGGAGCTACAGCAGACGCTACCCGTGCAACCAGGTGGGACAGGAGAGGCAGGCATTACCCACCTTGGTGTCCTATGAGGGGGCAGCAGGATATTGGATGGATGGGGAGCAGCCGGGCCCAGGACTTGTACTTGACCATAGGAAGGGACGGTGGGAAGAACCCACGGCTTTGGAGAGGGAGCTGGCCATGGGGTACAAGGAGAATGCCACAGCAGCCCCTGGCGTGAATGAGAAGGAGAGGAGGCGGGCATTGGGGAACGCTATGGATGGGTACATGATGAGATGGCTGGTGTAGCGGATGTGGAAAGAGACAGTGCTGCACTGGGGACTGAAGGAAGGAGAAAACACAGTAGCAACAGTCAGACAAGGAGTGTGGGCCTGCCTGCAGAAAGAGGAGCCAGAGTGGAGGATAGGTGAGAACATGAGCGAGGAAGGGAAGGCAGCAATGCGAACACTGCTGGCCAAGCATCGAAAGGGCTTCGCTTTCACCCTGCAGGAGTTGGGGAAGTGCAAGATTAAGGAGATGGCACTGAAGCTGAGCAGTGAAGAGCCGGTATTCCACCGCAGAAGGAAGATGCCACCAGGGGATGAAGAGATAAGTAGAGAGAAAATCAAGGAGCTGCTGGAAGCCGGACTGATTCGGAGGTCAGAGTCGGAATACGCCACCCCGACCGTGGTGGCAGCCAGGAAAGACTTGACAGGCGAGGTGTTGAGCAGGAGAATGTGTGGGGATTACAGGGATCTTAACAAAATCACCGTGCCGGACAGATATCCGATGCCGATGGCTGAAGAACTCTTCGACAAGCTGGCTGATGGGGTGTTTTTCACAACGCCGGACCTACAGCAGGGGTTCAATCAAATAAAGATCAGAGAAGAGGATGTGAAGAAACGGCCTTCCATGGACCTGATGGGCTGTACGAGTGGTTGTACATGCCGTTCGGTCTAAGGAACGCCTCAGCAGTATTCCAGAGGATCATGGATGCGGTGCTGCGGGATATAGAGCATGCGGCATGTTATATCGATGACGTGGTGGTCTTCAGCCTAACCGAACAGCAGCACTTGAAGGACGTAGAGAGGACACTGAGTGCCATAGAGGGGGCATGGCTCACCTGCCATCCCAATAAATGCAGATGGGGGGAGCAGACCGTGCAATACTTGGGGTATGAGGTCACAGGGGGGCAAATCGGGATCCAGCAAGCGAAGGTGCAGGTGCTGGACAGGCTAAGGGAACCCAGAGACAAGTCCGGGCTGCGAGCGGTCTTGGGCTTCCTCAGCTATTACAGACGCTTCGTGCCTAACTTCAGCAAGAGAGCAACGGTGCTGAACGGGATGCTGCGGGAAGACAAGGCATGGGAGTGGGGAGAGAAGCAGAGTGAGGCGCTGCAAGACTTGATGACCGCTGCGAAGACGGTGACAGTGCTGCGGCTGCCGGCAGCAGACCAGCCCTTCATCCTCTATACCGACTGGAGCAGTCAGGGGATGGGGGCAATACTGTGCCAGGAGGTAGAGGGAGTGGAGAAGGTAGTGGCTTACGCCAGCAGGAGCTGCAACTCGGCTGAAGCACAGTACAGCTCGTATATCGGGGAGGGGCTTGCGGCGGTATGGGCAGTGGGGCATTTCCGAGTATATCTACAGGGTAGAGAGTTCACCCTGGTCACTGACCATCAGCCCCTCACATGGTTGATGACCACACCAGGGCTGACGGGCAGGAACGCGAGGTGGGCAGTAAAGCTGCAGGATTATGACTTCAAGATAAGGCACAGGCCGGGAAAGACACTACAGCACGTCGACGGTCTCTCCCGCAACCCACCACCACTGGAGACGGAACAGAAGGCACCGGAGACGGAACGGACAGAGCTGGAGCCAGCGCATACCTTGATTCTGCTGGCGAGAGAGGTGGAGCAGAACGGTGCGAAGGGGAGTAAGGGGCCAGCTGACATTTGGCAGGATACAAAGGCAATGGAATGGGTGAAGGGAGAGACCGAGGTAGATGAGACAGTGTCTGAAAGGGTGAGGGCACGAGGGCATCACTACAGGTGGTTTCAACAGCAGTTGCAGATAAAAACAGAGGCCGGCTGGAAGCTGGTGCCAGCGCCAGAGGAGCGTGAAGCAGTGATCAGGGAAGTGCACACTAAGCTGGGGCATTTCGGGCACGAGAGAACCGTACACCTGCTGAAAACGGGCTGGTGGTTGGAAGGGATGCGCCGGCAAGTGAAAGAGTGGGTAGAAGGGTGCGAGGCTTGTCAGAGGAGCAAGGCGAACCTCACTCAGGCCAAGGCAGAACTGCAGTCACTGCCCATCTGTGGTTTGGGATTTCGATGGTCCCTGGACCTAGCGGGAGAGCTGCCGCTGAGCAGGAGCGGGAACCAATACATAGTGCTCATGGTGGAGCACGTGAGCAAATGGCTGGAGGTGAGAGCCATCCCTAGCAAGAGCGCGAGGCACATTGCAGCGGCTTTCAAGGCCCAGGTAGTGTTTCGATTCGGAGCGTGCGGGGAGGTGCTCACAGATCAGGGCACAGAGTTCAAGGGAGAGTTTAAGAAAATGCTGCTGGAATCTGGCATCACGCACCGACGTACCTCCCGCTACCACCCGCAAAGCGACGGGCTGACTGAGCGCATCGTACAGACCATCAAGCGAGGGCTGCAGACCTACGGGGAGCAGAGAAAGAGGGATTGGGATGATGAGTTGGACTGGATAGCAGCTGGGTACAGATTCGGGAAGCAGGCAGCGCTGAGGGATCACTCCCCGTACAGCCTACTCTATGGACGAGAGCCAATTCTGCCAATAGGGGCACCACGGGTTCTGACAGACACAGTGACAGCGGGCACGATCAAGAACTGGGTGGCCCTGTCTGATGTCCGGGCACGCTACATGCGCTTCATGATGCTGGCCGCGCTGGAGAACCTGCACACCGCGCAGCTGCGAGATGCTAGGAGATATGAGCAGAGGCAACGCAAGGGAGAGGGGAAAGTGCAGAAGGGCGTATGTGAAGGACAGGAAGTCTATCTGAAAAGAGCAAAGCGGGACACTCTGGATGTGGGATTGGGGACAGTGCGTTGGAGAGTCAAGGAGGTGCGCCCTTCAGGAGTGCTGGTACTGGAAAATGAGAAAGGGGCGCAGCTGAAGGAACACCAGACGAACACGGCTGTGATAAGGGGAACCGGGCCTCGGCGTACGGGTCCTGTGACCCGCGCTCAAGCTGCTCAAGCACGGGCACAGGAGGGGGCAGGGACTGGCTGAGGCAGCACAAGAAGCCAAAGAGAGGAAGAGCATCAGATCGTAGGGCAAATGACAGGTAGAGCTGTTTCTCCGACAGCTGTCACCGAATATGCACGGTTGTGCATATAAGGTGCCAGTTTTGCTGCGGTGTAGTTCCAAGTGTAATATTACTGTATGTGAAGATTTGGGGTGTAGGTAGTTGGGGACCAGGGAGAGTGTCGCGAAGTTGGTAGGAGAGCTCCGAGGAGTGCAATCCAAGGAACCAATGTGGATGCACCAACCCAGGCTCGAAGCGCACATTGAGAAATGCACGCTTCGAGCCTGGGCCAGGTAAATTCACTCTCACACACACACTCGTTGCTTTTCGTTTGTTATCCTTTCGTATAGTGGATCGTTGTTACCTTAATCCTACAGCTAGGTGACACACCACTCAGGGAGGACCCTTGGGGTGGGGGCAGGGACTGGCTGAGGCAGCACAAGAAGCCAAAGAGAGGAAGAGCATCAGATCGCAGGGCAAATGACAGGCAGAGCTGTTTCTCCGACAGTGCCCTTGTGCAGGTCAGTGAGGCGATGAAGAACCTGCTGCTGGTGCAGTGGGTGGCTGAGTCATAACTGTAGGCGTAGTTCAGAGGTCTAGTAAATCCAAGTAGCTTTCATACCATGTTGGGCTGAGAAAATTATGTATAATGGTTAAGGATCGGAACACTCTTGGATTGGTATAGACTTGTATTGCGTAGCAGAATTTTGTAATTGAGAAAGAATAATTCATTGAATTGTGTTAATAATAGAAAGCATTACAATGGCATTTACACCTAGGCGAAAGTACCTATTTGCTAATGTACTTGTTCAATGACGTAAACGGGTTGTACCCTTTCGCTACAGTAAGGCCCCATTCGCTGACGTCATCATTTCTAGTGAAGCGATACTCACTAAAACTTGACTCGCTACCGTAGCTAGGGACTTTGTAATTTCTTGAAATGTAAAGCTCTAAAATATTTCCCAGCACAGAAGTACCCTTCAAAATGGGGCGTAGTTTCAGCAGGTCCAAATCATGCGGTCTGGATTGGGTGCACTTGGAATACTCACTTGATAAAGAAACGTTACATATTAGCACATGGGTTCACAATATTGGCTTATTTCTCTCACAATTCCATCCTCAAATAGTTCAGGAAAATCATTGCAGTTTAAAACTTCAAATTATTACAACATTTTAGCGAGTGCCGCCTAAAACGAGTTAGTTGACAAAACCACTTTCCAGAACGGGATGCGGCACGGTGAGCATCTGTCGATCATTATGTGTGTCGCAATAGCTCCTTTTTAGGGTCGCCGCGCCGCTCGCTGCTCGCCGTCGCGGAAGCGCCAGAGCTGGAGAGCCGCTTTTCCAGTGCCCCTCCAGTAGCCACATCCAATTCGCTCCCTCACTCCGCCTCTCCGTCCCCCACGTCCCTCACTGCCGGCCTCTCTTCCCCCACGCCTGTCTCTCTCTCCCACTGCCGCCCATAGCATCGCCACGCATGAGCCGCACGCGCATCGTGAACCAGCGAGCGGCGAGCGGCGTGAGCGGGGGCGAGCGGCGAGCGGCGAGCGGCGCGGCTGACACGGCAGGTGGCGAGGGGCCAGTGGCGAGCGGCGTGACTGGCTAGCGGCGTGAGCGGCGAGTGGCGAGCGGCAGCGAGTGGGGAGCGGCGGCGAGTGGAAGGGGGCGCGGTTGACGCGATGGAGAGCGACGCGTGTCTGGAGAAGTTTCTCGTCTACGAAACTCAGGCGGTGCGTGCCGCCCGTTGCGGCGAGTCTCGTTGCGCTGCGTGTGCTGGAAGGCGGCGCGCTGTGCTGTGCTGTGCTGTGCGCGGCATGGTGTGTGCGTGAGCGCGTTAAAGTTGGGTCGGGCGACAAAAGGGGTTGAGTGCGCGTGAATGATTGGTGGTTGTGTTGTTGACCACATGCATGCTCAACAAATGCATGCTCAACACATGCATGCTCAACACATGCATGCTCAACACATGCATGCTCAACACATGCATGCTCAACACATGCATGCTCAACAAATGCATGCTCAACACATGCATGCTCAACACATGCATGCTCAACAAATGCATGCTCAACAAATGCATGCTCGACACATGCATGCTCAACACATGCATGCTCAACAAATGCATGCTCAACACATGCATGCTCAACACATGCATGCTCAACACATGCATGCTCAACAAATGCATGCTCAACACATGCATGCTCGTCATTGACATGATGCTACTGCGCACACACAACCACTTCAATCCCCTCCTCCTCCCCCTCTTTCTCTTTCCCCTCTCCCTCCCCCACCCTCTCCCCCTCCTCCTCTCCTCCATTTCTTTCCTGCCTCCCCTCCCTTTCAGCGCTTGCACAAACCATCCAGAACAAGGGTGTGTCTTAAACGGATCAGAGACGTTTTGCTTCCTTACACCCTTTCCATCCCTCCCCCGTCCTTTTCCATTCCCCCCTCCTCCCCACCCTTCAGCACTTTTACGTAGCGGGTAGGGGCAAGAACAATGACCAGAAGCGTTTTGCAGTGACTCAAATCATACCTTTTCCATCCCTCCCGCCTCTGATTTCTGTTTCTTTCCCCCCTCGCCACCTTCCACAGCGCTTCTGCATAGCGGGTAGAGGCAAGAACAAGTATCAGAAGCGTTTTGCGTTGACTCAATACATACCTTTTTCCATCCCTGTTCCCCCCTTTTCCATTTCCTCCGCCTTCCCACCGTCCACAGCAATTCTACTCAGTGCGTAGGGGCGGCGAGATCAAATATCAGAATCGTTTTGCGTTGACTCAATACATACCTTTTCCATCCCTGCCCCCTCCTTTTCCATTTCCTCCCCCTTCTCACCTTCCACAGCGCTTCTACATAGTGGGTCGAGGCAAGAACAAGGATCAGAAGCGCATCCTCAAGATCGACCGATCCGAGCCGTCGGAGCTGGTGCTGGTGGAGGATCCAACGGTGTACACTGCTCGGCAGTGCTCTGCACTGCTGCAGCAGCTCGCAGAGGGAAACCGCAGCTCGGGAGGGCTTCGCCTGGTCACCAAGGCCTATGGCATTGTTGGTGAGCCTGCGAGTTGGTGAATTGGTGTGGCGAGGAGGCTTATAAGGGGTATGGGACTGCTTATGGATGGGATTCGAGTCGACTAGAAAATTGCAGCTCGGGGGGGCTTTCGCCTTGTCACTCAGGCCTATGGCATCGTTGGTGAGTTGGTGAGTTGGTGAGTTGGTGAGGTGGTGAGTTGGTGAGGTGGTGAGTTGGTGAAGAGGCTTTCAAGCAGTTTGGGATCGGACTGCTGATGAGTCCATGCCTATCTAATCAATGACATGTCAAGAACCGTGGGTGCTTGCTTGGGGCGTGTGTGACTGGTGAATGCCAATCTGTCAGTCCCCCTCTCGCTCCACTGCGGCCCCTCTAGTCTCCTCCCTTTCCCTCACTCCTCCAAACACTCTTCTCTACCTCTCACTCACTCACTACCGTGCCCACCCACGGCCATCTTCCAGGAATTTTCAGAAGCGACTCTCTCTCTGCCTTACTGCCTGCCTTGCCTGTTCCACTCTCTGCTTTATTGCCTGCCTTGCCTGTTCCACTCCCTGCCTTACTGCCTGCCTTGCCTGTTCCACTCCCTTCCTTACTGCCTGCCTTGCCTGTTCCACTCCCTGCCTTACTGCCTGCCTTGCTTGTTCCACTCCCTGCCTCACTGCCTGCCTTGCCTGTTCCACTCCCTGCCTTACTGCCTGCCTTGCCTGTTCCGCTCCCTTCCTTACTGCCTGCCTTGCCTGTTCCACTCCCTGCCTTACTGCCTGCCTTGCCTGTTCCACTCCCTGCCTCACTGCCTGCCTTGCCTGTTCCACTCCCTTCCTTACTGCCTGCCTTGCCTGTTCCACTCCCTGCCTTACTGCCTGCCTTGCCTGTTCCACTCCCTTCCTTACTGCCTGCCTTGCCTGTTCCACTCTCTGCCTTACTGCCTGCCTTGCCTGTTCCACTCTCTGCCTTACTGCCTGCCTTGCCTGTTCCACTCTCTGCCTTACTGCCTGCCTTGCCTGTTCCACTCCCTGCCTTACCCTCTGCTTTGTCTGTCTTTGTTCCCCCCTGCCCCATTGCCAATGGCAGGGTGTGTGCGGTTCCTAGAGCCCTGGTACCTCATTCTGGTGCGGCGGCGGCGGCAGGTGGGGTGCATGAGGGGGCATGCAGTGTTCCGCATTGAGGAGAGCCTGGTGTTGACGGTGCCCCACGCCAGCGTGCACACGAGCGTGGCTTCTAGCACCATGGAGCAGCGGTGAGCAGCGGTTTCATGCGGTGACGTGCGGTGAAGAGCAGTGAGGTGCGGTGAGGGAGGGGTGACCCTCACCTCACCCCATCATGCAGTGTTCCGCATTGAAGAGAGTCTCATGCTCACTGTGCCCCATGCCAGCGTGCACACGAGCGTGGCCTCCAGCACCATGGAGCAACGGTGAGCAGTGGTGAGGAGCGGTTAAGAGAAGATGTGTGAGCCTCACCTCACCCCAGCTTGCAGTGTTCCGCATGGAGGAGAGTCTCGTGCTCACCGTGGCCCATGCCTCCGTGCACACACACATGCCCTCCAGCACCACGGAGCAGTGGTAAGAGCGGTTTAATGTGGTGATGCACGGTAAGCAGCGGTAGGGAGTGGTGAGGAGCGATGAGGAGGAGCGGTGAGGGTGGGTTGCAGATGTGTGAGCCTCACCTGACCCCATCATGCAGCGTTCCGCATTGAGGAGAGTCTGGTGTTAGTTAACTGTGCCTCATGCCTCCGTGCACACTCACGTGGCCTCCAGCACCATGGAGCAGCGGTGAGCAGCAGTTCAGTGCTGTGAGGAGCGGTGAGGAGCAGATGTGTGACTCTCACCCCACCCCATCATGCAGTGTTTCGCATAGAGGAGAGTCTGGTGCTCACTGGGCCACACACACGCCCGTCGCCTCCAGCACCACGGAGCAGCGGTGAGCAGCGGTGAGGAGCGGTGAGGAGTAATGTGAGTCTATCAGGTACAAGAGGTACCTCCCCTCCCAACAGCAGGTACAAGAGGGTGCTATCAGGAGCTGATGTCACAAGAGACTTGTATTGCTCGCACTCCTTTCCCCTCATGCGCTGCTACTCGCCCAGCCCGCCCCCGTGCTCATCCCCTCATGCGCTCACTACGCCCTCAGGTGTGCCATGTCTCTGCCATGCTCTCACTACGCCCTCAGGTGTGCCATGTCTCTGCCATGCTCTCACTACGCCCTCAGGTGTGCCATGTCTCTGCCATGCTCTCACTACGCCCTCAGGTGTGCCATGTCTCTGCCATGCGCTCACTACGCCCTCAGGTGTGCCATGTCTCTGCCATGCTCTCACTACGCCCTCAGGTGTGCCATGTCTCTGCCATGCGCTCACTACGCCCTCAGGTGTGCCATGTCTCTGCCATGCTCTCACTTCGCCCACAACACTCTCAACACCCCCTTCCCTTCCCACCACCCCATCAGGTACAAGAGGCTGCTGTCAGTCATAGGTCGACCTCACGAAGGATTTTTTTTTAATCCCACTCCTACCCCGTCATGCGCTCGCTACACTCTCAGCACACATATCATTCTCACCACCTCCGTGCCCCACCCTCCCCCCCACCCCATCAGGTACAAGAGGCTGCTGTCAGGGGTCGACCTCACAAAGGACTTCTTCTACTCGCACTCCTACCCTGTCATGCGCTCACTACAAGACAACGTCTGCCGTACCGTCACCGGGTGCACCGAGTGTGGCAGCAGCAGCGTGGGATTGGGACCATGCACGGGCATGGCCCATATGGCCCATGAGCACATGGGTAACGTGCCCCGCATGGGTCACATGGCCCACATGGCTCATGAGCACATGTTTGTGTGGAATTCGTTCCTCACACGTTCCATCCGCCACGCCCTCGGCACCAACCGATGGACGCTCGCTCTCTCCCACGGCTTCTTCCACCAGGTGGGCTGCTGCTCGCTGCTTGATGTTCCTTGCTCCGTGCTTCTCACACGCCCCATCTGCCATGCTCTCGGTACAAACAGGTGGGCTGCTGCTCCCTGCTCACTGGTTGCCTCTTACTCCTTGCTGCTCGCTGCTCGCTGCTCGCTGCTCGGTGGTCATATTGCTTAAGCTAATAGCTTGTCCAACTTTGCGCCAATCGTGCCACTTTGCCGGAACAAAGTACCTCAAGAGCGGGGTCAACGACCTTCCGTGCCCCTGCTGTCCCCTCCCCTCCCCTCCTGTCCCCTCACCTCCCCTCCTGTCCCCTCTTCTTCTCAGGAGCATATGTCCATACATATTCGGGCGGGTCATTTCACTTGTCTTAATCGCCCGCCGCTCACGCCACTTTGCCAGCACACGGGACCTGAAGAGGGGGATAAACGACCTTCCTCTCCCCTCGTCCCATTTACTCTCCTATCGCCTCTCCCTCTCAGGAGCGCATGTCCATCTTTGGCCGAGTCATTTCACTTGTCCTCATAGCCCGTCGCTCGCGCCACTTTGCCGGCACGCGTTATCTCAAGAGGGGGGTGAACGACCGGGGGCGAGTGGCCAACGAGGTGGAGGTGGAGCAGCTGCTGCTCGACCACTCCCACGAACCCATCCTACCGCCTCCCACCGCTCTGCACCGGGAACCCATGCCATCATTTGCTCCTGGACCTGTCCCAACCACTCACCGCCTGCAACACCAGTCCATTTATCATCACAGGCAGCAGCAGCAGCAGCAGCAGCATGCCACGTCGCCACCCCCTTCGCCTGCCTCCTCCTCTTCTTTTCTGCTTGTCCAACCGTTCCCATCACTCCCTTCCTCCACCACCCACCCTCCTCCTATCAGCCCCAGGGAAAACATTTTCCAGATAACGCCTGTGCCCGGGGATAGTCCAGCAGGCTCTGCAGCAGCATCAGCAGCAGAAGCGGCGGTGGCGGCGGCGGCAGCGGTGGCGGTGGCAGCGGTGGGAGCAGCGTCAGCAGCAGCGCTGCCAGCGATGGCGAGTGTGGTGCAGGTGAGGGGGTCCATTCCCCTCTTCTGGTCGCAGCAGGCATCGAGACTCAGCCCCAAGCCAGATATCGTGTGTGAGTGGTGCAGTGCGGTGGGTGAGTGGTGCAGTGCGGTGTGTGAGTGGTGCGGTGTAGGCATGTCCTCATTGTATCCCACCTCACTATTCCGATTCACTCTCTGAAACCATGTCACCGTGAGCAGTGCACCGCCACCCTCCCACCACTTGAGTAATGTTGCGCCATATGCCTCCTCACTTTGCAACCATACCTCACTGCACTACACTGCTATAACTAAGTCTTTCTTCTACTCGTTTTTTTTCTTCTTTTCTTTTTTCTCTCCTCGTTTAATCTGGTTGGTTCCATTCGGATCTAGGCACGAGCGACCTCAGTTGGTTTGCTGCGATCGAATCCGCCTCTTTAACAACATCAGTACCCTGCTATATTGCCCCATGTACGCACGTGCATTTGCGAGGCCGCACTGGTTCTCACACTTGCACTATGCTTGTTCCCCCCGTGCCTCCATGAGTGCAGTGCACCGCTATGACCCCATGTACACGGCAGCACGGCTGCACTTTGAGAATCTCATGGAGCGGTACGGCCGCCCCATCATCATCCTCAACCTCATTAAGGTACAGTGCGGTACAGTGCGGTGCAGTGCGGTACGCTACGGTGCCTGCTGCCCTCCTTACCTCATGGAGCGGTACGGCCGCCCCATCATCATCCTCAACCTCATCAAGGTACAGTGCGGTACAGTGCGGTGCAGTGCAGTACGCTACGGTGCCTGCTGCCCTCCTTACCTCATGGAGCGGTACGGCCGCCCCACCCCATCATCATCCTCAACCTCAAGGTTTAGTACGGTGCCTGCTGCCCTGCTTGGATTAATATGAAAGCGCTGCAGTGTGTGAAGCGCTGCAGTGTGTGAAGCGCTGCAGTGTGTGAAGCGCTGCAGTGTGTGAAGCGCTGCAGTGTGTGAAGCGCTGCAGTGTGTGAAGCGCTGCAGTGTGTGAAGCGCTGCAGTGTGTGAAGCGCTGCAGTGTGTGAAGCGCTGCAGTGTGTGAAGCGCTGCAGTGTGTGAAGCGCTGCAGTGTGTGAAGCGCTGCAGTGTGTGAAGCGCTGCAGTGTGTGAAGCGCTGCAGTGTGTGAAGCGCTGCAGTGTGTGAAGCGCTGCAGTGTGTGAAGCGCTGCAGTGTGTGAAGCGCTGCAGTGTGTGAAGCGCTGCAGTGTGTGAAGCGCTGCAGTGTGTGAAGCGCTGCAGTGTGTGAAGCGCTGCAGTGTGTGAAGCGCTGCAGTGTGTGAAGCGCTGCAGTGTGTGAAGCGCTGCAGTGTGTGAAGCGCTGCAGTGTGTGAAGCGCTGCAGTGTGTGAAGCGCTGCAGTGTGTGAAGCGCTGCAGTGTGTGAAGCGCTGCAGTGTGTGAAGCGCTGCAGTGTGTGAAGCGCTGCAGTGTGTGAAGCGCTGCAGTGTGTGAAGCACTGCAGTGTGTGAAGCGCTGCAGTGTGTGAAGCGCTGCAGTGTGTGAAGCGCTGCAGTGTGTGAAGCACTGCAGTGTGTGAAGCGCTGCAGTGTGTGAAGCGCTGCAGTGTGTGAAGCGCTGCAGTGTGTGAAGCACTGCAGTGTGTGAAGCCCTGCAGTGTGTGAAGCTCTGCAGTGTGTGAAGCGCTGCAGTGTGTGAAGCGCTGCAGTGTGTGAAGCGCTGCAGTGTGTGAAGCGCTGCAGTGTGTGAAGCGCTGCAGTGTGTGAAGCGCTGCAGTGTGTGAAGCGCTGCAGTGTGTGAAGCGCTGCAGTGTGTGAAGCGCTGCAGTGTGTGAAGCGCTGCAGTGTGTGAAGCGCTGCAGTGTGTGAAGCGCTGCAGTGTGTGAAGCGCTGCAGTGTGTGAAGCGCTGCAGTGTGTGAAGCGCTGCAGTGTGTGAAGCACTGCAGTGTGTGAAGCGCTGCAGTGTGTGAAGCACTGCAGTGTGTGAAGCGCTGCAGTGTGTGAAGCACTGCAGTGTGTGAAGCGCTGCAGTGTGTGAAGCGCTGCAGTGTGTGAAGCACTGCAGTGTGTGAAGTGCTGCAGTGTGTGAAGCGCTGCAGTGTGTGAAGCACTGCAGTGTGTGAAGCCCTGCAGTGTGTGAAGTGCTGCAGTGTGTGAAGCGCTGCAGTGTGTGAAGCGCTGCAGTGTGTGAAGCGCTGCAGTGTGTGAAGCACTGCAGTGTGTGAAGCCCTGCAGTGTGTGAAGTGCTGCAGTGTGTGAAGCGCTGCAGTGTGTGAAGCGCTGCAGGTTGTTGAGTGAGAGCAAGGACTCCACTCTACCACTGCAGCGGCTCCTCTCGAATTTGTCAAACCTGTCTTGCCGCCTCATCCATCCCTGCTCTTCTTTTTCTTCCTTACACTTCTCCTCCGTACCCCCTCTCCCCTCTCTCGTCCCTTCTCCCCTCTCCTCTCCCCTATCCCCTCCCCCTCCTCTCCCCTCCTCTCCCCTCCCTGTCAGACAGCGGAGAAGCATCTGAGGGAGATGATTTGGAAGCGGGAGCTTGCCACTGTGATCCCTCGCTGTCATGCCATATTGCATCGACTCCAACAAAGCACCTCTCCCATCTCCCCTCTCCCATCTCCTGTGTTTCAATCTCCCCTTCCAGACAGTGGAGAAGCACCCTCGTGAGATGATTCTTCGGAGGGAGTTCGCCATGGCAGTGGCGTATCTCAACCGAGTGCTGCCACCCCCCTCCGCCCTCACCTACATCCACTGGGACTTTTCAAGATATGCCAAGAGGTGTGCAGTCTTGTCTTGTGCCCATGCCACAGCACTGTCATGTACCTCACCTCATCAACAACATGCTGCCACGCCACCCCCCTCCGCCCTCACCTACATTCACTTAGACTTCTCCTGATACGCCAAGAGGTGAAGAATGACTATTATCCACACGTCATATGGCATTCTCCTGACAGCTGCGGCAGCTTTGGAATACATTTCATAGTCCTGTGCTGCCATGTCACTACTACACCCTCTAACCTACATCCACTGGGACTTTCAGATACGCCAAGAGGTGAACATTCTCTATGCCAAGAGGTGAGCAGTCCCCCCGGTTTTGATTAGCCCCCCACACACTCCTCTTTACTCTGCTCCAATGCAAGTGCAGCCAGCAATACAGCAGGGGTCAGCAGTGCTGTAGTGGTGGCTGCACTTGTACTGAAGCAGATGCTAGGCCAGTGTGTACCAATGCGGCACACACTCTCAGCTCTGAAGTGACTTTTGAGGCGACTCAAATGTGTTTCAGCAATATGGTACACGTTCTGACCTCTCATGTATCCCCCTGATTCCCCCTCACCGCCCTCACATCAGTGCAAACAAACGCAGCCACCACTCCACTAGGGGTCACCCGTGCTGCAGCAAGACGCTAACCCAGTAGCCCAGTGATTACTTATACGATACATGTTCTGACCTATCCCCGCCTTCCCTCCCACCGCCCACACAGCAGTGCCAACGCGGCCACCACTCCAGCAGGGGTAACCAGCGCAGCAGCAAGTGCACTCAGCACTCTCACCACCACTCCCAACGCACCCACCATTCCCAACACACCCACCACACTCCACACCCTTACCACTCATCCCAGTCCCTTCTCCTCCTTCCCCTCCTCCTCCCTCATCTCCCCCTCCTCCTCCCTCATCTCCCCCTCCTCCCCTTCTGCCTCCTCCTTCTCGCTCTCGCCTCCTTCGCTCTCTCCTCGAGCCACCAACACCAGCGCCACCAACGCCCAAGCAAGCAGTGGCAGCGGCAGCAGAGGGAGTGGCAGCAACAGCGGCAGCGGCAGTGGCACCAGCAGTAGCACCGGCGGCAGTGGGGGAAATGGCAGCGGCAGCGAGAAGAGCAAGGGCAGTGTGGCGGAGGGGGTGTTGGGTGCGCTGGCAGCAATCGCCAGGGAGTGCCTCGCCAAGACCGGCTTCTTTTACTCCGGCCAGCTCGCCAGGTGCGTTTTGAGTCGACTCAAAAAGTCACCTCATTTTGGGTCGATTCAAGAGGCACTGGGAGCAAGGGCAGTTTGGGGGAGGGGGTGTTGGGTGCGCTGGCAGCAATCGCCAGGGAGTGCCTTGCCAAGACCGGCTTCGTTTACCCCGGCTAGCTCGCCAGTTGCGTTTTGAGTCGACTCAAAAAGTCACCTCATTTTGGGTCGATTCAAGAGGCACTGGGAGCAAGGGCAGTTTGGGGGAGGGGGTGTTGGGTGCGCTGGCAGCAATCGCCAGGGAGTGCCTCGCCAAGACCGGCTTCGTTTACCCCGGCCAGCTCGCCAGGTGCGCCCTCTGTTGTTTTCGCCAGGTGCTCGCAGCACAGCATGAAACTGAACAGGGAATCTCTTGTGAGCCAGATAATCGTCAATTCACAGGCAGAGGGATATTCATTTCCATTGCTTCAATTTGCAAAGGTTACCCACAGCCCTCCTCTCCCACCACCGCTACGGCTCGTTCCCTTCCGCTTCCCCCCTCTCCCCGCCCACACCACATTTGATTCCTGGCAGATTCCACAAGGCATGCTTTGTGTCGCATCTGCTTGCCCTTTGCTTCCTCCCTTGTTTCCCCATCTCCTCTGCGCCTCCCCCTCTATTCCACCCCAATGCATGCAATCTCGCCAGGGCTGCCACCAAGGCGTGCTTCTCTTCCTGCCCTGCCGCCCCTCGCTCTGCCCCATTGCCCTCCCCCTGCCTCACCGCCCCTCCCTCTTCCCCACCACCCCTCCCTCTGCTCCCCTGCCTACCCAATGCATGCAATCTCGCCAGGGCTGCCACCAAGACTTTCTTCTCTTCCCGCGCCACCGCCCCTCCCTCTGCCGCCACCACTACTGCTGCTGCACCCAGCACAACTGGACCGGAGGAGGGGGTCCGAAGCAAAGGAGGCAGCAAGGGAGCAGCAGCAGCAGCAGCAGCAGCAGTGGCAGCAGCGGCAGCGGAGGAGGAGGAGGAGACAGGGAGATGGGTGCGTCCCCCACAGCTGCAGCACGGAATCGTCCGAACCAACTGTCTCGACTGCCTGGACCGCACCAACGTGGCCCAGTTCGTGATTGGTCGAGAGGCCCTCGCCCACCAGCTCCACTCCCTGGGAATCACAGATTCGCCGCATCTGGACAGCAAGAGTGACGTGGGGAAGCGGCTGCAGGGGATGTACATCGCGATGGGGGATGCGCTGGCGCTGCAGTATGGGGGGTCGGCGGCGCATAACCTGGTGATTGCTGAGAGGCCGGGCACGTGGCGATCGACTCTGCAGTCTCAGGAGGTGCTCAAGTCACTGCATCGGTACTACAGCAATGCTATTACTGATGCTGACAAGCAAGACGCCATCAACCTGTGAGTGCTGTAGCCTTAGCACGCCACCATCCCCCTCTTCCCCCTCCTCCTCCCCTTCTTCTTCCCCCCCCCTTCACTCCCCCTCCGCTCCCTCTCCCCCTCCCCCTTTCCCTCCTCCTCCCTCCTCCTTGCCTTGGATTGCGTGCTGCTTTTGAGGTGCCGCAACAGGGTTACTTCCAGCCACGGGCATGGAGCCACAGGGAGGGGCACACTACTGCTTCTCACACCGCCCTTTGAAAGAAACTAGGAGTTGTAGAAACTTGAGGAAGAATCATTGAAATTAACTCAAGAGAGCACAAGGTTATACAAGGGAGAGAAAGATTGGAGAAGAACACCAAACCTAGCACATAAGACACCAAGACCAAGTAGGCTAGTGGGAGGAAGGACCATCCAACCAACCCTAGTGGGGTGGTGGCCAACCAACCAAAGTTGGTTGCCCCATTTGGCCAACAAAGTTGGAGCCAAGTCTAAGCTAGGATATTTGGGTTCACCCCAATTAGGGTGTCTACCCGCAATACACCCAAAATTAGAGCCTGAACCAACCCAACTGTACACCACTCTTAGTGTACAGTCACAAGTGTTCGCATTGCTATAATGTATAAATTCTAACACAACCCCTTAGCATGCGAACACATGAAGAGAACAACCCCTGAATCAGGGGGCGCCTGGGCGAGCAAGGCCAAGGAGGCGGAGAAAGGCAGAGTGCGCAGGGCGAGAGAGAGCTTTGGTGAAGATGCCAGCCAAGTTTGCCTCGGCCGTAATTTTCCGAACGGCAAGAAGTCCCTGCTGGACGAGCTCGCGGATGAAGAAATAGCGCAACTCGATGTGTTTGGAGCGGGCGTGGTAGACAGGGTCCTGGGTGAGATGGATGGTGCTGGTGTTGTCACACCAGAGGGTGGGACAGCGCTAAGGAGCGCCCAGCTCAGCAAGAAGATAGCAGAGCCAGCGGGACTCCTGAGCGGCCATGGTGCCAGCGTAGAGCTCAGCCTCGCACAAGGAGAGAGCAATGGCAGAAAAACGCGTGGAGCGCCAACTGACAAGGCCGCTGCCAAGGGTGAAGCCATAGCCCTGAGAGGAGCGGCGGTCCGGCTGCGAGTCAGCCCAGGAGGAGTCGCTGAAGCCCGAGAGGAGAGGAGGGGAGGGGCCGCCAAGGGTGAGGACATGGTCCTTGGTCCCGCGAAGATAGCGGAGGACTCGCTTAGCGGCCTGCCAGTGCTCGGTGGTGTGGCGGCCGGTGCCAACGAAGTGCGCAAGCACACTGATGGGGTAGGCAAGGTCGGGACGGGTGCACATCATGGCATACATCACCGACCCAACAAGCTCGGCATAAGGGTGAGAGGAGGAGGAGGGAGAGGTGGGTGGGGCGAGCTGGTGACCGAAAGGTAGAGGGGTGGACACGGGCTTGGCCTGCGCCATCTCGAACTTCTCCAAGACCTGGCCGATGTAGTGGGACTGGGAGAGGGTGATGGTGCGAGCAGGGCGGTTGCGCGTGATGGCCATGCCCAGGTAGTGCGTGAGGTCTCCCAGGTCCTTGCATTTGAGACGCTGCTGCAGCGTCAGCTTCAGCTGCTCCATGTCAGCCTTGGAGTCAGAAAGCAGGATCATATCGTCCACATACACCAGAATGAAGAAGCGGTGAGGGGAGGAGCGAATGAAGAGGCTGGCGTCAGAGTGCGAGGCAGAGAAGCCGAGGGACCCCAAGGTGGCAGACAGCTTCGCATGCCACTCCCTTGGTGCCTGTTTCAAACCGTAGACAGGGCGACGCAGCTGCCACACAGTGTTTTCAGGAAAGGCTGCGTGGAAACCAGGGGGGCGCCGGAGGAAAATGCGCTCGTGCAGGTCACCCTGTAGGAACGCGTTGGAGACGTCCATGGAGCAGATCTCCATGTTGTCCCGCGCACCAATGTCGAGGAGGGTGCGAAGGGTGGGCGGCTTGGCGGTAGGGGCGTAGGTGAACCAGTAATCTTCGGCCCAAGTCTGCGTGAAACCCTTGGCGCAGTAACGTGCCTTGTAGACTGGCTCCTCACCCGGCAGCTGCTTCACCCGAAAGATGTCAAACATATATGCTTAGTTATATCTAGGCTTAGTTCATGTGTTTACATTTGTCTAGGCTATAGTGGGTTTAGCCTTAGGGGGTACAGAATTCTCTCGACATTCTACTTGTACCCTTCCTTGTTTCCTAGTCAATCATCCTCGCCTAAGATTTTAACATGGTATTAAGAGCAACTAAGTCTTAGGACCTAGTCTCAATGGGCCCACCACCTACTGCACTGCCCGTACCTAGCCCGTCGACTTCGTCGCCCGCGCCCGGCCCGTACCTAGCCCGTCGCCCGGCCCGTACCTAGCTCGTCGCCTCGGCCCCGCTGGCCCCGTCGACTTCGTCGCCCGCGCCCGGCCCGTACCTAGCTCGTCGCCAGGCCCGTACATAGCCCGTCGCCTCGGCCCCGCTGGCCCCGTCGTCTTCGTCGCCCGCGCCCGGCCCGTACCTAGCGCGTCGCCCGGCCCGTACCTAGCCCGTCGCCCGGCCCGTACGTAGCCCGTCACCTCGCCCCGCTGGCCCCGTCAACTTCGACGCCCGCGCCCGGCCAGTACCTAGCCCGTCGCCCGGCCAGTACCTAGCCCGTCGCCCGGCCAGTACCTAGCCCGTCGCCCGGCCCGTACCTAGCCCGTCGCCCGACCCGTACCTAGCCCGTCGCCTCGGCCCCGCTGGCCCCGTCAACTTCGATGCCCGCGCCCGGCCCGTACCTAGCCCGTCGCCCGGCCCGTACCTAGCCCGTCGCCTCGGCCCCACTGGCCCCGTCAACTTCGACGCCCGCGCCCGGCCCGTACCTAGCCCGTCGCCCGGCCCGTACCTAGCCCGCGCCCGGCCTCGTCTCCTGCCTGCGTCCGGCCCGTACCTAGCCCGTCGCCCGGCCCGTACCAAGCCCGCGCCTGGCCCCGTCCTTCGCCCAGCGCCCGGCCCCGTCTCTTGCCTGCGCCAGGCCCCGTACCTAGCCCCGCGCCCGGCCCCATTCCGCGCCCAGCGCCCGGCCCCGTACCTGCCCAGCGCCCGGCCCCTTATCTGCCCAGCGCCAGGCCTCGTACCTGCCCAGCGCCCGGCTCCGTACTGCCCAGCGCCCGGCCCAGTACCTGCCCAGCGCCTGGCCCCGTACCTGCCCAGCGCCCGGACCAGTCCCTGCCCAGCGCCTGGCCCCATTGTTTGGTCCCGCGGCCCCTAGGCCCCTCGGCCCCTACTTTGGCCCCTCGGCCCCCCTAGGCCCCTCGGCCCCCCCCCAAGGCCCCCCCGGTCCCTTGTTTGGCCCCGCGGCCCCTAGGCCCCTCGGCCCCACCTCAGAGCCTGGAGCCCGGCCCCCCGGCCCCTACTTGGCCCCTCGGCCCCCTAGGCCCCTTGTTTGGCCTCTCGGCCCCCTAGGCCCCTCGGCCCCCCCCAAGGCCCCCCCGGCCCCTTGTTTGGCCCCTCGGCCCCCTAGGCCCCTCGGCCCCCCAAGGCCCCCCCCGGCCCCTTGTTTGGCCCCGCGGCCCCTAGGCCCCTCGGCCCCACCTCAGAGATTGGCGCCCGGCCCCCCGGCCCCTACTTTGGCCCCTCGGCCCTCCCTAGGCCCCTTGGCCCCACCTCAGAGCCTGGCGCCCGGCCCCCCGGCCCCTACTTGGCCCCTCGGCCCCCCTAGGCCCCTTGTTTGGCCCCTCGGCCCCCTAGGCCCCTCGGCCCCCCCCAAGTCCCCCCCGGCCCCTTGTTTGGCCCCGCGGCCCCTAGGCCCCTCGGCCCCACCTCAGAGATTGGCGCCCGGCCCCCCGGCCCCTACTTTGGCCCCTCGGCCCCCTAGGCCCCTTGTTTGGCCCCTCGGCCCCCTAGGCCCCTCGGCCCCCCCAAGGTCCCCCCGGCCCCTTGTTTGGCCCCGCGGCCCCGCGGCCCCTCGGCCCCACCTCAGAGCCTGGCGCCCGGCCTCCCGGCCCCTACTTTGGCCCCTCGGCCCCCTAGGCCCCTTGTTTGGCCCCTCGGCCCCACCTCAGAGATTGGCGCCCGGCCCCCCCCCCCGGCCCCTACTTTGGCCCCTCGGCCCCCTAGGCCCCTTGTTTGGCCCCTCGGCCCCCTAGGCCCCTCGGCCCCACCTCAGAGACCGGCACCCGGCCCCCCCGGCCTCTTGTTTGGCCCCTCGGCCCCCTAGGCCCCTCGGCCCCCTCTAGGCCCCCCGGCCCCCTGTTTGGCCCCGCGGCCCCTAGGCCACTCGGCCCCACCTCAGAGACCGGCACCCGGCCCCCCGGCCCCTTGTTTGGCCCCTCGGCCCCCCTAGGCCCCTCGGCCCCTTGTTTGGCCCCTCGGCCCCCTAGGCCCCTCGGCCCCCCCCCCCTAGGCCCACCGGCCCCTTGTTTGGCCCCGCGGCCCCCCAGGCTCCTCTGCCCCTATGGCGTTGCTTCGAGTTCTCCCGTTCGACCCGGAGGGTAGGCCTGTAGCATTTGACACGTGGCACGACGATCTGCAACTGTACCTACTGAGTGACAGACGGGACAGTGTCTCGCTGTTTGACCTCGTGTCCGGTGCCGCTCCAGCCCCTCCCGCCACAGCTGACGTTTCGACTCGTTCCCAGTGGCTCTCTCGTGACGCTACTGCCCGCTTGGCCATTCGCAACCACCTGCCCGCAACAGAATGTGCTCACTTTGGCGAGCACAGGACAGCACAGGCCTTGTACGACGCTGTAGTTGCTCGCTACTCCTCCCCTGCCACTGCTGCTCTTGGCAGACTGCTACTGCCCTACCTGTTCCCTGAGCTGTCGGCTTTTGCCACAGTAGCGGACCTGGTTACCCACCTGCGCACTAGCGACGCTCGCTACCGCGCTACCGTTCCTGCTGATTTCCTTCTCACGAACCAGCCCCCCATGTTCATCACCCTCTACTTCATAGTCACTCGCCTCCCTGACTCCCTTCGCTCTGTCAGGGACCACTTCCTCACCCTCGACCCCACTTCCCTCACTGTTGACCTTCTCGAGCAGCATCTCCTCGCAGCTG